TTTTTGAGAGTTTTCTTAATATAATGATATTAAGATAATATCAATCCGTCAAATATTTTGAAAATTCTGATTTATAGTATGTCATTTAGTACACTAAGTCTTTTATGTCAAACTTATTACTTAACATCTTCTTCGTAGACTTGATCATGTATTTATTATTGAATATCCTAGAAATTTTAATTTATAGTATGTCATTTGTTATATTCAAGTTTTTTATATCAAACTTATTAATTAACATCTTCTTTGTAAACTTGATCATATATTTATTACTGCCTAAAATTAGCATGTCATCCATATAAAAATATATAATAACATTACTTTTATTTATATTTCTCATATAAACACATTCATCAACTTTATTTACTTTAAAATCATTTGATAGCATAACTTGTCAAACCTTTCATGCTATTATTTAGTTGTTTGTTTCAAATCGTATAATAACTTGATAAAATTTTAAACTTCATTTTTCTCCTTTTTAATAATAAATCACTTCAGTTGCTCCATGTAGACCTCTTTTTTAAGGCCACCATTTAAGAAATTTACTTTTATATTTATTTGATGTATCAAGCATGTTAATTGTTCAAATAACTATTCACATTGATATGAAAGTTATTATTGACAATAATGAGTGTCAAAATAGTCTACACCTTCTTGTTGTTTGAATCCTAAAATAACAAGTCTTACTTTATATTTATTAATGGTTTCATTAACTTTCATCTTTTTATTTAAGATTTATTTATGATCTAATGATTTACTTCCAAGTAAAAGATCTACTACTTTTCATGTATGATTTTTTAAGAGTTCATTTTTAATAGGGAGCTTCAAGACATGACATTTTCATCAAGTAGCTTCGAGGTTTATTTTTTAATAAGTTAGGAAATCATAACAAAACAATTTTTATTGTTTTTGCACTTTTACTTCTTCTCGACTCAATTTTAGCGTCTTCTATTTGATAATGATTAGTTAAGATTACTTTATTCATTTTTTAAGAGAATGAATTTATTATGTTTCCTTAAAAGAAAACACATTTCAAATAATACAACATTTATTGATTCCATTATTTTATTGGAATGAATATCCTTAGTACTTAACTTGTGAATATGAAACCAATATGCATTACTGTTTAAATATATCTAATGAATGAACAATTCATAATTTAAAGTTCTATTTTGTCTTTTTTTAAGATAAAGTGTTGTGACTTTCCTAAGAAAACCCAATACTTTGAGATTTTTAATCTTTTTATGACTCATATGATATCTTTTTAACTTCTCATGATATTCTTTATTAAGTATAAATTTGATAGATACAATTGTCACCCTTATAAATTTCCAAGTGCTATCTAACTTATCAAAATTATATTTATCATTTTTTTAAAGTTTAGTTATCATATTTAACAATATTATTTTGTTCAAGTGAATAAGAAATAGTAGTTTGATGGATAATAACATTTTGTGAACAAAATTCCCAAAAAAAGAAAAATGTTTTGTATTCTCCACCTCTATGCTTCTTATTACCTTTATCTTTTTGTTAAATTAATTTTCAACTTCATTATTATAATGTTTAAATATTTCAAGAGCTTTATTTTTTTTCTTAGCGAATAGGTATAATAATATATTGTACAGTCATCTATAAAAATAATAAAATACTTTTTACCACATCTGATTTGCATACATTTTAAATCACCTATATAAGAGTAAATTAAATCTAAATATTCACCTTTTATTTCAATTAATTGAAAAGAATTTTTTATAAATTTTGATTCTATACAAATTTCATACTTAATAATTTTTTTAAAAAAACATAGTTGGTAATAATTCAAGATTAATTGTATAAAAGAAACTTAAGTAAGAAGAAATGGCATTCTTCGTATTATTGATTTCATTATTGGTTATAATAGTCTTTTCACTTGTTTTGAAGAGGCCATTATATAGATAATCATTTTCTACAAGCATATCACTTTTAGTGACTATAAAATTATAACTCTTAAAATCATTTTGAAACCATTTTTTGCTCAACAATGAGTCAAACATAATTTTTTTATAATGTCGACTACATAGAGCACTTTATTGAAGGTAATAAGCAATTCAAAAGTCATCTTTAGAGTGACCTTTCCAATACCCATAATATTAGAGGTTGATAAATTTCTTATCTATAGATGTTTAACATCTACTTTTTTGTATGTGAAGGACATTCCCTTTTTAATCTGCATGAACATGTTTCATAACACTAATATCAACTCATCATTATTCATGATTTTTGAACAAGTTGACTTTTGAGACAATTATATACAAGCTTATTTTTTACACTTCATTTAAGAGGTTATCAATCTTAATGACATTAGCTCTAAAAATCCTTTTTTTTTTCCGCTAATATTTCCTTGCTAAGACTTATTTTAATAATATTTGGTTTGATGTCTAGTCTAGTTATATATAAAACATTCATTATTGGATTTCTTAGCAATGTATTTTTCCTTTAGAATAAATATTTTTTTTTAAATATACTGCATCACCATTTGTTTAACCATATATGCTTTAGGAGTCATTAAAGAATAGTTGATTTAATCTAGAGAAATTTATACTCTTTTATCCTTAACCTCACAAGTGTTTTCCTAGATAGTGATATTTTTTTAATAATACTAATCATTTGAAAATATTCACTTAGAACCATCCTTTCATCATGAATGCCATGTAAGATAAATTGAAAATTTTGAACTTAGATTATAATAGTCTTTTAATTGACCATTTTAAAGTTAAAAAATCTTCTAGTTATGAACTTATTCATACTGATATCTTTAACCTTATACCCATTATCCAAAACTTTTTATAATACCTTTACACTTTTATAGAACTAAAAAAATATCAAATACATTGTCCAAATCATTCAAATTATAGTTCTTGTACATGAAATAACTATAATTCTATGAGCTCACAACTATAAAAATAATGGAATTAAATTAATCATCATCCATCTTAGACACATCTTCAATCAATAACTTCACCAAAATCAAGGTGAATAGATAAAATAATATCTTTTTCATCACCTTTTAAAGTTATTATTTTTTTAAAGTTTTTTTTATCATACACCATAAAAGGTGATGATAGAATCTTTCCTATTAAAGTAATACTTGTTATTGCAATAATTATAAGAGCGACAATCTCTTGAGTAGAAATCATATTTAAAAAAAAACCACGAAAACATATTTTTTGCAGGGTAATAAAAACATGAACATAAATATTAAATATAAAAATAGAGTAATTGTAAAATGATAAAATTTTATATCAAAACTAAGTCATGAAAAAACATTATCAACGATCAAACCCTTTATCTTTAAGGTTAAATTGTCCATCAATAAATACAAACGATCTTAGTATATCTTATCTCCAATAATTTCAACAATAATATCTTGAAATAATGTACATCATTGGATGTACATCCAATCAAAGTCTATGAACTAGAAAACTCACTTTAACTTTCTCTCTAAGATAACATAACCTAAAACTAAAAAATAAAGAGCATAAAAGCAAACAAGAAGATAGAGAGAGAGTATGTGTCTTTTATTTATTTATTTTCTTATTTTCATTTCTTTCAACTCTTGTAAACCTTATTTATACTTGAAGATAAGGGTGCATAATTAATTAAAAAATAATTAGAATTAATTCTTGACATTTCATTGAATTTCCAAAATCAATGAATATGGGAAGACTAAATTAAACATAATTAATTTCTAAAAATTCACTGAAATTGCAAAAACAATGAATTTGAGAATGCTTAATGGAACAAAACTAATTCAAGATTAATAAAAATTATTTTTTGATAATTTATTAAATTTATAGAAATAATAAAATTGACTTGATATAAAGATTGATCAATCAATTTCACACTACCATAAATGAATTTATACAATATATAAGTATCGTGCCAAAACCATTCTTTTCCAATAAAAATTTATTATTTATTATAAAAAGAGAAGATTTATTTTTAAAGTAGATAATTCTGTGTTAAAAAATGATATAAATAATATTTGAAGACATCATCTAATAGCTCAAACTTTTAAATTAAAATGATTTTTTAATATGATATTAAAATTTTAATAACTAAATACTCATCAATTTCATGTCTTTTCTAATTAAAATTAATAAATAGTTATATGGATGTTAACAAATTTTAAATTGAAAAGGATTTTATCTTGAAATAATTATTTTACTCTCTCATGTTAGAAAAAAAATAATTTCACTGTAATATAAATTAATTAACCAAGTTAAAATAACGATGTCTTCGATTTCAACCCATCAGCCCAAGAAAATATGATTTTTAAATTTATATTTGCTAAACAAATTTAGTTAATTATGGATGTAATATTCTTTTAGGTTTATGAATAGATATTTCTTGGTGGACAAGCGTGCCTTTTTCTTCTTCTCGTGGCTCTACCCTACTCAACAAGTAGTATTAGACTTCTTGCTAATTTGCACGTAACTGTACATGTGTGTGTGTGTGTGTGTATCGAATTAATAGCGGTACTTACTTTATTACGCCGTGAATCTCGTAAAGTGAAAGCTTTTCCCCGTTCCTCTTGTTCATGGTTTTCTTACCACCCAAGGTTTTCAAGACTCAACTTCCGGAATTGCCTAGGAAGTGTAATTTACTGATCGAAACCAGCAAAGCAATAGCACACAGAAAAGGACACAGAGACCTTTGCCTACGCCTCGTAATATAAGTTACATCCTCTGACATGTCTACTTTTGTCTGTTGCAATGGTGGGTTGCATGTGAGTCGATTGGCCCAATGTTCAGCGACTTTTAGCCCATTAGTAACTTG